AAAAAAATAAAATAAATAAAAATAATAAACAGCATAAATACCAAAAAAATAATGTAACAGCAACTCTGTTTTTTTTTTAAACAAGAAAATAATTTATTTCTGGAACACAATAACCATTCTTGTAATAATAAATTATTCAGTCACACACCTTTTTTTTTCTTCCGCAAATCAAAAAGACACCAATGATTGAGATATTATGCTGCATGGGGTTTTGAGGTCATGGAAATGACACATTCAAAAACCAGCCATCAAGCACAATAAACTAATGAAAAAGTGGGTCGAAATAGGAAAATTGAGTGCTCTTCGATAAAATAATCCCTTACAAGTGAGATTACAGGAGCATTGGGCAGTGTCAATCTGAAAGCCTGAACACTCTTCTCTATATTCTGCAAATAGACAAATATGTTTTATACATATATATGGCCTTTCACTTTCTTTTTATAATTCCTATTTGTGACTGCAGCATGAATGCCTTTTCTCTAAACTCCATTTGACACAATAGCTAATGATCTCGGTTTGGCGTGGAGAAAAAGAGAAAATAATTCAGAGGGTTATTGCTGATCATCAAACAAAGTAATGTTCCTTGGTTTCCATAAACAATCAATATATTTCAACTAAACATTTATATTTTTTTTTTACCAGCCAATGCAAGTTTGTTGGTAGTTTTCATAAGCAGACATGGTGATATGATACAAACAATAACGCACACGTTTACAATCATACTTTTGTACATTAAAGAATAACAACATAAAAATAACAACATTGAAATTAATGTAAAATAGACAAATTTGGTTAACATTTGCAGAGGATGTACAACATGAGCATGTTTTTGTTTGTTTTTTGTGCAAAAAGTAAGTGAAGAGACATTCTGAAAGGCAAACTGGATCGAGTTACAACAGAGATTGAATTTGCGCTGGTGTAAAAGGCCAAATAGATCCGATCACTGGAAACAGCCGAACACTGACACCCAATCGGGAGCTTTTTAGGCTTACAACACCATTTTGCCGTTTTCCAAAGGTTCAAGAAATAAGACAAGAACTAATTCACAAAACAAGACCTAACAGGGGGGTAAGGGGGGGTTGGGTAAACGCTCTCTCTAAACCAATTAATACTAAATATCTGGATGGGATTTTCTGTCAAACTGCACATTCAGCTCAGTGCTTTTACACCCGATAACCCATAGGAGGCGTCGTTCAACTGCTAATTGCTAAAAATCTTTTGACACGTATAACACTAAAAAGTGCTGTTGGCACCTTCTCCTTTAAGAAGATGCTTCACTATAGACACCTAAACACTAATAATGAAGGCAATTACATATGTTAAGAAATACACATTTTTCACAACATATGACTGAGGGTTTTCAGCAATCAGTGACAAATCTTAACTTTCAATTAAACAATATATATAGCACTACACAGGCTATTTGATTGTTTTTTTGGTCATCGAATGGCTTTTCCATTGGAAACGCAAATAGATTTGTGTGCAAGATTCGTAGTTTTCTTTCACAGCTGCAGCATGATGATAAATCAATAAAGATCATGTAATCTCACAAAATCTGTCAAGAAATGGCCAAGTAATATTTCATCCCAAAATCAAAAATTGTAACGAAAATTTCTCAATTTGTGTCATGTGTTGCTTGTAACAATATTATTTTCATTGCAAAAAAAAAAAATACTGTTAAAATAAGAAATTATTGGTGGAATATTGAGAAAAATGAAGGAAACAGCATATTTGCCATGAAGATAATGCAAAAATTAGGGCTGTCCAATGATTAATTGCGATTAATCACATCCAAAATAAAAGTTTGTGTTTACATAATATATGTGGGTGCACTTTGTATGATTATTTTGTATATATAAATACACACACATGCATGTATAATTAAGAAAAAATATTATTTATATATAAAATATTTATATTTATATATAATGTAAATTATATATAAATCTATATACAGTATATATATGAAAATATTACTTAAATATATACAAGAATGTGTATGTTATTTATATATATAAAATAATTATACAGAGGGCACCCACATATATTATGTAAACACAAACTTTTATTTTGGATGCGATTAATCGTATGACAGCCCTAGTAAAAATATATGTTTATTTTAAATATATATTTAAATGATCTAATTATATGATCTCATTATAAATGATACATTTAAATATACGTATAATTAAAAATCTTTTTTTATTGTGGGGTGAAATATGACCTGGGCATTTTGTGAAATTCACATTTGATGACTTCCCTGAAACAAATCAAGTCTAACTGCACTAAACCGCTGTGTTAAAGGTTTACGAGTCTGGAGAATCCGCACAGGCCTTTGGAAAAATGTTCCCTTCAAATTTTAAACATATATTTTCCCCTCAGCTTTTGATTATTCAAGTGGGTCACAGAAAAAAGAAGAAGAAGATTAGTTCCATTTCAGGCAGTCTTGATACCAAAAGTAAAGAAACACATAAATTGCATCAAGTAATTGCACAAAACAGCGAAATGAAAATGAACAAGATAAATTAAAAAAAACCTTAAAACAATACAATAACACAAATCCCTTTAAGTAACCAGTTTTCACAGACATGCACCTAGCAATGCACTGTTGTCTCCCACTGGGTCCCAAATCAACACATTACACAATCTAGTTCTACTAACTTCAATGGTTCTCCACAAACACGAGTCAATACTGCAGCAACAGTGTCTGCTGTTCTCCAGCAGGATCTGAACGCAATGGGATTTGCCATCTAAAACTGCGTCTTAGTGCTTGTGGTATCATAGTGGGCTTGTGATCAGGAGGAATCATCCAGGAATTTATTCAAGGTTTTCGCTCTCCCTCTTGTTTTCATTTTTCATCTCTAGTTTTAATATGGTCGGCTAGTCTCTCTAAGCTCTTTCTGACAACATAACGGATCATATGGCAAACATTATATAAAAGTGCTAAACAAAAACTGATCCGACTAGGAATGTGACTTGGATTCAACCGACAAGGACTGGTATAGATTCACGCGTTTTCTCATCATACCCTGGTATACTTGAAAAGGTCTAGTTAGTTTTGAAATATGAGCGACGTGAATGCGAGCCTGTGCTAACACAGTTACCAGACCAAAAACCGAAGATAGCTACTTAATATCAAATGTTAATGTGCACTCAAACGGTGCGCCGGTCGTATCCAGAAGCACACAGTGCCTGCATAACACTCACTTCCCATAAACTTACGTGTTACGTATTGTGAAGTTTGCCGGGTCTGTTTAATAAGATGGCTGGCTGGGTGAATCTCACAAAAGTCGTCAAAAACATGTAGGTAGTATTCCCATCCAAAAACAAAAGGAAGTAATGAATTATTTAGCCGAATGAGATTCTTAAAGGAGAACTCCGGTCAATTTTAACATTGAGCTTATTTTTTTGTAAATTTGGAGTGCTGTCAGTTGGAGTGCTGTGTTGCCCACACAGTGTTATCCTCTTTTTAAAATTCGCACCCTGTTGACTTCAATGGGGCATGTTCAAAACCTGCTTTTAGCCTGTTAACCTCCTTGATTTGTCATTACGAGTGCACAGCCATGTGAGTGGTCTTATTAAAAGTGTAATAACGGTCAATCTGACTGCAGTAGACGTGAACGATATTAATAAAAATGATGTTAATTCAGCCAGCTCACATACCTCTATTTACTTCCTGTTTTCGGTCGAAGTCCACAGTAGTCGATTGTCGAGTTAGTGCGCGCGCGATCATTGGTAACTAAATGATGTTCAACATCTGATTCGGATTAACCATCCATTTGAGCTGATATTCCCAGAACACCACACAGCACCGTCATCGGCTGGCAGTCTGGGTCGCCACTGTTGCTTAGTTAACAATGATCGCGCACGCGTGAACTCAACAATCGACTACTGTGGGCTACGACCGAAAACAGGAAGTAAATACAGGTATGTGAGTTGGTTGAATTAACATAATTTTTATTAATATATTTCACATCTACTGCAGTCAAAATTATGGTAATTCAACCAGCTCACATACCACTATTTACTTCCTGTTTCCGGTCGAAGTCCACAGTAGTCGATTGTCGAGTTCGCGCACGCGATCATTGGTACATCATTGGACAATCGACTACTGTGGGCTACGACTGAAAACAGGAAGTAAATAGAGGTATGTAAGCTGGCTGAATTAACATCATTTTTATTAATATCTTTCACATCTACTGCAGTCAGATTGACCGTGGTCACTCTTCATAACACCACTCACATGGCTGCGCACTCGTAATGACAAATCAAGGATGTTAAGAGGCTAAAAGCAGGTTTTGAACATGCCCCATTGAAGTCAACAGGGTAATAATTTTAAAAAGACGATAACACGGTGTGGGCAACACCGATTTCTGTCGTTTTTGTCTGTACTGACAGCACTCCAAATGTACAAAAAAAATAAGTTCAAGGTTAAAATTGACCGGAGTTCTCCTTTAAGGGCCATTACATTTTTGCATCATAACATGCAATTATAATTAATCTTGAGATAAAATCTCATTCTCTTTATTACTTGTTGCACCGCCTTTAGTTTATGCTGATTCAAACTATTGTATTCCAGTAAAACATTACTGCGAGTATAGAGATTCACCAAACATTTACAAAAAAAAAATAATAATAACAAAAGTGAGGGGATGTGCAGACATTTTTAATTGTCCAAAAATAGGCATCCTTCTATTTATTTATGCAAAATATTGACTATTAATATTATCCAAAATATTACTCCCCCAACCCCTTCCCTCCCCTTTTCCTTTTTTGACTTTGGATGTTTTTTGTGAGATTCGCTCAGCTCTGTTCGATCCTATTTAGCAGTGATAACTAATCAGTTTTTAGTGTCCTAATTCGAGGGCAAGATATACTGATCATATCTAAACAACTACAAACTACAGTAAATATAAAAAGGTGCTCTCGCTACACCGGTTATATGACTGTTTTTGGTCATCGAGTGGCTTTTCCGTTTTCTCCTTTGAAAAGTCATTACGATTCATGTCGTTTATAAACCGTGATACAAAAGAGAAACACATATTCCCCACTGACAGTGAACGCTTGAAAATAGTTGTCCGATCCCCCTCGTGTGCGGCGGTGAAAACGTCTCGGTGGAGGTGCAACGGAGACGGGGTCGGTTAAGATTTACTGTCTTGGCATTTGGTTTCGCTGGAATGGGCGCCTTGACTTAGGCACGGTGGTTTCTGTTTCTCCCACTGGCAGATTGCATTAACGTAGCCGACAATGACCTTGTCCATCCAGGTGAGGGGCTGAGGGAACAGCACAGCGCCCTCGAAGAAACCCAGGTGTCCACCGTGCAGTGTCAGTGCGAAGATCACGTTTTCTTTCTTTTCTGGAAGGTGAAAATTAACCAACGAATCTCAGAATTGCAACAGCTCAAATACAGAGGATAGCATCTATTGTAGGCGGTGTGATAAATCTTATGACGACATGAGTCATTTTATATCTAGGTAATATTCAAAAATACTGAGCTCTTTCATACACGATAAAACACTCAGGTTTCCAACTCTGACTTCCTGTCACACTTAGCAATAAATAGGCCACCAATGTTGACCAGAGTTTGCCTTATGACACAATATTTATTATATACCGAGTATGTTTAAGCAAATAGAGATCTCATGAGTCACATGCGTTTATGTGGGGCTCTGTAGTAATTATGGGTGTTTTTGGCATATGAGGTCATAATCTAATAAAAGATCAGTGTGGAAATAGGCTGTAAGCATGTTGAAGAACTCGGAGAAGCCATGCGAAGTGGGCAGAAATGACTACAAGAAAAATACAGCACTTCAAAAAAAGGGTTAAAAAAAGCATCACTTTCAATATTTCAAAGTATATTCAATAATTCACCCAGAAATAAATTCTTTCAATTACTCAACCTCAGGTCGCTCCTAACCTAAAAACTTTGTTCATCTTCAGAACACAATAGATAAAAGGTAAATAATTCTGATGAAACGTAAAAAACACATTTCTCAAATAACAACAATTTTGAGCAGAATAACCGTGATTATCAATTTATCCATTGTGCAATTTGACAAAATCGTGACTACTTTTTCATTGACTACGAGGTCGCACAGATCACCATGAAGCGAACAGATCATCTCTTCCACTTTACCCATAGTTATAGCAATCTGGCACCACATTTATCACGGTCAAGCACATTTTCTGCGGACTGAGGATAAAATGAATAACTATTCTTTTGTATAACTCAAACTACACTCTTTGGTTTCCCCCCCCATGTCTTTTGATAGTTTGGTGTGCAGTGCTGTACCTGCGAGTGTGCGAGGAATGGTGAGCAACGTGTTGTGCACAAGCGGATCATCAGCCGAGTTCACCAGCAGCAGAGGCACATTTATCTGCAACACAGCAAGAAAAACTAGTCAAAAACAGGAAGCAAACACATTTCCTTAGACTCTCATAAATTATTCACTAAATTCCATTATCATTTTACTCACATTATGAATGTAATGAACACAGCTCTCCTTCTCGTAGTATTCCTTCAGAGAGTTGTGACCATGGAATTTTCTAAAAAACAAATTGACATCTTTCTATACTAGGAATAGTATACTAATATACTAGTAGTATATTAGTATGCCTACTGATATACTCATGTACTGAAACTATATTTAGAAAATTGAATACATTAATGCATTAATTCATGAAGGACTAATAATATAATTTACTATTCTAGGTTCGTTCATAAATGTACTACTGTTAATTTTCTAATTAATGTTCAGAGTACATTTAATGTTTAAAACATTTTTATATACGTAAAATTTTATATAAACTCTTCCCCGTGATTGACGGAATTTTCCGCGGCAAAAAAATATTGCATTTTTTATGAAACGTATCCACATTCATTTGTTGATATTAAAAAAAAACAAGACTTTTAAAGCAGAGACTCTGATCTTTCTTTTGATATTTTATGTTCAGATATTCATACAACAAAATATTCAGTAGGCCATATTTTGAGAACATTATCAAAAATGCTGCCGATGGCTGGCAACTTAAAGGGTTAGTTCACCCAAAAATGAAAATTAAGTCATTAATTACTCACCCCCATGCTGTACCAACCCCGTAAGACCTTCGTTCATCTTCGGAACACAAATAAAGATATTTTTGATTGAATCTGAGAGCTGGATCACTCTTCCATAGGCTTCCTAAGGGACTGGCTCTTGACGGCCCATAAAGTCATTACAGAAAAGGTTTAAATATTCCATGTGCCTACAGCGGCTCAATTATAAGTTTATCAAGCGACGAGACTACTTTTTGTGCGAAAAAAACATAAATAACGACTTTATTCCAATATTCCATTACTTCCTTATGGGCGCATGCGCGAGAACTGAGACGAGGACGTTCTCATTCGACCACTTCTTGTTACCGGCTGCTCACCGCTTAGGAGTTTTACCGCCCCCTACCGTATAAAATGATGATCCATATATAAGGCGCTCCGGATTATAAGGAACACTGTCGTTTTTTGAGAAGATTAAAAGGCTTTTAAGTGCACCTTATAGTGCGGAAAATACGCAAATTGAAAAGCGTATGTACAGCGCACATCTTCCTCTGCTTGTAAATAGAAAGTTTTGCGCTTCCAGCTATATCAGCACATCATCTTATACGGTAGGGGGGCGGTAAAACTCCTAAGCGGTGAGCAGCCGGTAACAAGAAGTAGACGAATGAGAACGTCCTCGTCTCAGTTCTCGCGCATGCGCCAATAAGGAAGTAATGGAATAGTGGAATAAAGTCGTTATTTATGTTTTTTTCGCACAAAAAGTAGTCTTGTCGCTTGATAAACTTATAATTGAGCCGCTGTAGGCACATAGAATATTTAAACCTTTTCTTTAATGACTTTATGGGCCGTCAAGAGCCAGTCCCTTAGGAAGTCTATGTAGGACTGATCCAGCTCTCAGATTCAATCAAAAATATCTTTATTTGTGTTCCGAAGATGAACGAAGGTCTTACGGGGTTGGTACAGCATGGGGGTGAGTCATTAATGACTTAATTTTCATTTTTGGGTGAACTAACCCTTTAAATAAAAAAAGAAACGCTGGCAGGGAAAGAGTTAAACTAGAGCATACAAGCAGGATATAAGCACAATTCTATTGCGGTAACAATAGCTATGGTAAACATGGTATTCTATAAATTAAAGCACAAAACATTCTTTGACAATGCGAAGTGAAGATTCAATTTCAGAGAAAGTGACATAAAATAACCCCTAAAAATACTAATATGTCTCAGTGTGTGGTCTATCACATTTCTCGGGTCTCAAACTGTGTCTCTCGTCTCGGTTTCACAAGAACGTTTGAAAATGATTCACATTTAGCCATGTCCTTGCACTCACCTCATGATGTTGTCATCGATCTGCATGAGTGATGTGGCAGTATAGAGCCGGCTCAGATCTGCATCCACCATTTTAGTGGAGCCCATACCGAACAAGGAGCTCCTGTTGAACAAAAAAGAAACGCTCTCCTGACTCTGTTAAAATGACAACTCGGTGGTTAGATTTGTATACTCTTACCACTCAGAAGGCAGTACATTTATCTTGTTTTTGTATCATCAGTGACAGCATTACTGTAAGTTATTCTGAGGTCTCCTAATGGCTTGATTGCAAAAGAACATGTGAGCTCAAAACAGTTTCAGGAGAAGAGTGAACGTCACAGCTGGCAACTAAACACTGCTCACAGAGACATCTGTCTAGAGATTCAATGCCAAAGACAAGATGAACGGTACCTGTGGGACAAAATGATCTTCTTCATGTTGTCGGCCATGAGGAAGTTATAGAAACGACGACACTGGTCCCACTGCAGAAACGTCTCCTGAGCTCTGAAGTAAAGCACAAATACACAACACAATTTTTCAACGCAATTTAAAAAAAAAGGTGTGTTTCTTTCATACTTTTAAATGTTATGATGGGTAACACTAAATAACATTCAAAAAAACTAAATATAAATATATATTATTATATTGTGTATATATATACACACACACTCACACAAACAATATAATATATATATATATATATATATCAATACTTTTATTCAGCAAGGATCTATATTCAATTGATCAAAAGTTACAGTAAAGACATTTATAATGTTAAAAAAGATTTCGTTTCAAATAAATTAAATATTTAAATACATTTTCAACATTGATAATAATAATTAATGTTTTTTGAGCATCAAAAAAGCAAATTTCTGAAGAACGATTTCTGAAGGATCATGTGACACTGAAGACTAGAGTAATGATGCTGAAAATTCAGCTTTGCATTTATATTATATATTCAAATATATTCAAATAGAAAACAGTTCTTTTATTTTTTCATGATTTTTAACAATACTGCAGTTTTTTGTGGTATTTTTAATCAAATAAATTATAAGTCTTGATGAGCATAAGAGACTTTAAAAAAAAGAGAATTTAAAAAAAAAATCTTACCGATCCAAAACCTTTTTGAACACCAGTGTGTTAAATAAATAAAAATATATATATATATATATATATATATATGTTAGACTCATAATGCTGATTAAGTGGACTTAGAAACAATCAACTAAGATATGCATGAGCCCTTCAATATCAATTCCATCTAAATTCATAAGGTGCATTAAAAGGGATCTTGAATATAATAATCCAGCAGATAATAGGGGAGAGCAGATTAGCAGGGGCTTTATAGATTCGGTAATCCGGTCTGAAGGCAGAGCTAGACTGTTTTGGCAGTGCCAAGTGTGTGGACATGCTGTAAAAAACCCAGCAGAGCTGCTGACAAACACAACAGACAGCAAAGGTGTGGCTTACTGAAGTCCAAACACACCCACTGCATTCCAGAGCTGCCTCTGCTCAGCGGTACGGACATCACAAGCTTGTTCTCTGACAGTGATGCACACTGTTTGGTTGTTAGACCAGTTGCTATGGTGCCCTTTAGTGTTGACATGTCAACACTGACATCTTTATAGCCAGTGGGTACAAGTATACAATGACTTTTTTGAGGCTCAAAATATCCAAAATATTAAATTAGATTATATCATGCGAATTTTAAGTCTATTATCAAATGATACTGGAAATACTTTATTTTTAGCATTACACAAGTCTTCAGTGTCAGGAACTGTTTTCAACATTGACAATCATCATATTAGAATGTTTGTAGAATGTGAAGGATCATGTGACTGCAGACATTCTAATATGATGATTGTCAATGTTGAAAACAGTTCCTGCTTCAAATTTCTGTGCAAGTTAAAAAGAACTGCCTTTAAAAGGAATGACTGTATAAAGATTTCTTATTTTATTTTGCTTTTTATTTATATTTATATATATATATATATAAATGTTTTTTCTTATGTTATGTTCTCTGTCATACTGTACATTTCTTGATGTGTCTGTTGTTCCCTCTTCCCTGTCTTATTTTATTTTTGTAGATGTTTGTTTTATCTTTGTTTCTAAAGACAGTAAAGAGTTGATCACAAAAAAAAGAACTGCCTTTATTTGAAATAGAAATCTTTGAAACATTTTAAATGTAACTTTTGATTCATTTAATGTATCCTTGGTGAATAATGAGTATTAATTTCTTTTTCTTCTTCTTTTTTTATAATAATCTTAATGACCGCAACATTTTGAATTGCATAACTATTGTGACGAGAAATGTTCCTCATTTAATGTTGAAATAAAGGTGCTTAGTACATTTGACTTCCTTTTGGAGGGTGCAAACATGCCCTGGAAATTCACAGTTTATGTCACTTCAATTTTTGAACAGTGCCGTTAGGGAGGCTCTAATCAGGCTAACAGAGATATGCTTGCACAAATGTACAAACAAACGAGTTTCATGCAATATGCAAATGTCAAGAGGAGGAAACAGGCGGACAATACTGAGACCATCTGTGCCTCTTTTAAATAACTAAGTACAACGTGTACAGACTGTTAATTCTTATCTAGAGTTCAGCCGTCATCCACGGTAAGCAATAGTAAAATGGTCTAACTCGCACTCAAAGCAAGCTGGCAGGATTTGAATCTGGGCATTTTGCCCATGGCTTCATGAATCCCCGTTCCACACCCCTCTGGAGCGACATCAGGTATTATGTAGCTTCTGTCAGAGAACCGAGTGGCTCACCTTAGTGCACTGTAGCCCTGGCACACGCTAACACAGCACAGAACACGCTCCTGGTTGGTACGGTTCTCTCCCAGGAACTTGCAGACGATATTTCCCCCCAGACTGAAGCCCACGACAATAAGTTTGGTTTGGGGATATGTTTTTTTAATGAAGCCAACCATTGCTGCGAACTCCCATGTACAACCTACGGAAAGAACAAAAATACTAAGCCATTAGTTCAACCCAAAATTAAAATGATGCCATAATATACTCATCTTAGGTGTATATGCAAGGGCGTAACTTTGGGTCTACCATTGGGGGGGTTAAACTCGCGCCATATATATTAATTTATTTATATTGAATAATTTTCTTTTGTAAATGGTAACATGCTAATTTGCCGTTCCTGTATTAGAAATCCATTGTGATATACTTTTATTCCCCACTTCTGAGGTAGGAAACAAAATGTTAAGAAACTAGGCTTGAAGTTTAACTGTTAAAATGTATTTTATTAACATCACATTGTAAAAACTTAGCATCCAATAACAGCATTAAAACCAAAAACAAACAGAGAAAAAAGAAAGTGCAATTATATTATTACTTTGCATGAAATACGACTCAAAAGTAGATGGAAAAATTGTGTTTGCATTTATTATATCTAATAACATAAAATTCAGACACTGAGAAAATACAAGTGTGTAACTTTAGTTGACTAACTAACGTTAGTTGTGCTATGATTCATTTTGTCATTTTGCAAACTCCATGCAAAAAGAACAAAAAATAAAATAATAATAATATCAAATTGAGCTGAAGGTGGCAAATTCCTAATAATGTACATAAGATACCTAAAATACGTTGCGCATAGCCTACAGCAAAGGTGTTTCAACAACAACAAAACACATTCACTTGCACATATTTGACAATCGGAATATCAGATCCTAATATGGCTAGAAAATTGTGAAATTCTGAATAAGAAAATTTAAATAAAAGCAGATCATCAGTCATTCAGCTGTTGTGGCTGCAGTGTGACAGGCAATGAAGGACGCGTCTCCATGGGAACCATAAAATGATACTACGATCAATAACGGTCGCCTTGAAAAACTTTTAAACTTACGTGTGAAAAGGTTAAGTAAGGCTTACATTTAAATGCGTCTTTGTTTTGTTTTGAGTGTATGGTCAATAAATAAAGGAATTAAAAAGATGGGCACAAAAAAAAACCTGTTTGTCGTGCCCCACTCGTCTCTATTCCCCAACAGTAGGCCGCGCCCACGCGCCACACTTTGAGAAACAGCTAAATGGGGTACCTCCGTTTGGTCAGGATTTTTCCTTTTTTTGGAGCTGACCAACAATTAAAAAATCGTTGTCTGGATGCCTTTCAATGTCCTTTCCATATTTCTATCCGTTAGAATGCACCACCAGCTATTTCCTCCATTCATCCCAGCGACTGCGCAACATAATAAACAAACTTGGTAGAGAAAGCGGGTTGGGTAATACCAAGTCGGTGCGGTGGGCGGGGGGTACATTACAGATTATTTAAAATATGATACTATCTTTCTTGCTGGCAAACGTATTTAATATTAATTCAGAATATTTCATATTTATTTCTAATCTGAATGATGTGATGATATTGGGGGGGGGGGGGGGTTATATAGCTGGGTCTGACCCCCCCGCAAATTACGCCCATGTGTATATGACTTTCTTATTCACCCAAACACAATTAGAGTTATATTAAAAAATATCCTTGCACTTCCAAGCTTTTTAATGGGAGTCAAAGGTGCATTGGTTTTTGAAGCCAAAAAAGCACATCCATCCATCCATCATAAAAGTAATCCATACGGCTCCAGGGATAAAAGGTTTCTGGTAAGAGAGTTCAGTTCCAGCGGAAGAGTGACCTCTGGCCCGACGCATGACATAGGATGTAGAAGTAGACTCCTATAGGGGTTCAAACAAATAGGACTAGGCAACAAACAGAAGCACTTCCATCATTTCTCTTTAAACATTCTCGTTTTAGACTCTCTCGTTTCGCTCTATCCTCTGTGCTTCCACATTTGTCATGCGTTAGGTCAGAGGTCACTCTTCCACAGGAACTAGACTTGCATACGCCCATTACTGGAAGCCAGTGATTCTAATGTATAAGGTTAAGTCCCACAAAAATGCATCGTGTTGCTTCAGAAAGCCTTTATTAACTCCCTGGAGCAATATGGATTCATTTTATGATGGATGGATACACTTTTTTTGAGCTTCAAAATCTCAGTTACCTTTATAATTGTTTAATAACTTCATTCAAATATGACATCTCCTGGATGAACGCATTTGTTCACCATAATGCATAAGTCTCGTACCGTAGGTGAACATGCGAGGGGAGGTGAGCTCAATGTTCGGCAAGGCCCCGAGGTGATTGAGCACAGCACATCGGTAGCCCTGTTTCTGCGAATGGTCCACAAAGGTGCGGATATAGTGCTTCTCACTGTGGTTCCCAATGCCAGGACAAATGACCATGGTGACGTCCTCTGTGAAACCAACACAAAACATTAAGAGCCCTTGATGTGGAAGAAATTACACATGTAGACAAATACATGCAAATAAATGCTTGAGTTGATCAACATTACCAAGCAAATGTGGTGCGTTTATCTTTTCTTTTCCAGGTAATGCGTCACAATGTTGGCACAAAGCAAACAAGTGCAAAATACATTGTTTGTACAACACTTTCTAATGCATTGACATAATGCATTAGGACAGATGGATGTTTTGTTTAATTTATATACTAAATTAACTTAAAGGAGTAGTTCACTTTTAAAAAAAAAAATTGCTGATAATTTACTCACCCCCATGTTATCCAAGACGTCCATGTCATTCTTTCTTCAGTCGAAAAGAAATTTGATGAAAACAATCCAGGATTTTTCTCCATATAATGGACTTTAATGGGAACCAAACGGGTCAAGGGCCAAAATACAGTTTCAAGATGAACAAATCTTTTTTGTGTCATTTGGTTGATTCAACGAACGAAATTAATGAATTGACTCGGAAAAAGATTCGTTCATTTTGCTGAACGTGTTTGAACAGGAGAGTCACGAACGCTCATCACAGAACAGAGCAAGGCGACCATTTGAGCTTATAAAACTTAACTTTTGTTAATGTTTTTTTTAAATGAGCGATCGTTTCGCTTGATAAGACCTTTATTTATCATCTCAGGGCTCCAGACTAACTTTTTTTCCTAGGAGCGCTGTTGCCCCTGACTGAAAATTTTAGGAGCGCAAGCAGAAAATTTAGGGGCAAAACCTTAAATCAGCTTGCAATGCAATTATTCAAATTTCCCCCAAAATAACTGTAATACTGACAATTTTTTTAATAATAAATAGACTTAACATTATGATATGCTGTTTTATTTTAAGTTCACAGGACAAAAAAAAAAAATTCTGGTAGCACTGGGGCTGACAATAAATCACTAAGCTTAATTTAGGGTGTAGATGAAATTAACTTTAGTTATTATCATTTATAATGTCTTAATATTAATTAATAAAAGTAGTGAAAATATGTATATGGAGTGAAAATAGCCAATACTGTTTACAATGGTATTATTATTATTTTTTAAGTGTTTAAATAAGAGTTTTCCAACATCTTAAAATTTTTCATTTTAGGACAATCTTTAAAAGATCAACAAAAAATGTGTTGGTAATCATATACAAAATACAACAAAAAAACAAACAAACATTTATATATGATATTATTGAAGTGCTGGGAAAAGATGTGTAGTATGCTACTTGTACATTAACATATTTATTGTTGGAGTTAACTTACTACATTAGCCTAAATCCATGGTTCTCTTAGGCTGATTTGTGGACTGAAAGCCTTCTGTAAGAGTTTCTCCTGGTTTCCACGTCAGCGCTGTTTGATCTGATATGGTTTATAACAGAACTCTGCGCCGAATCGGAGTGTTTCTCACTGGATCTCGTGGTGTTGATGTTATTAATTCTGAGGCGAATTCAATGGATTTCTTCACTGGATCTCCTAACAGTGTTGCGTGAGCGAGATCGGCCCGCGGGCCGCGACTGGCAAGTTCGGGGCTTTACGGTTCGGATCGCTGCTGCTGCTCCACGGTCCTAATCATATATGAGTGGCGTATTTTCGTTCTACTTTCATTTTGTTTGCATTCGCTGCTAGGTAACGACTAACGAGTCGATAGGTCGCCGATTGCTCAGACGCACATCAGGTTGTGATATTTGTCTCCGTCTCCTTCCCACAGACGCGCGCTATTCTTGTCACGGATTCATTGACGCGCCTCTTCCACGTTTTACCATGCGTTTAACGTGTGGCAAATTTACTGGTCGCACATGTGCGACTGGATGTAAAATTCAGTCGCACACTCTCAAATTTTGCTCGCAAAATGCGACCATTTGGTCGCAGTCTGGAGCCCTGCATCTGGAATCATTTAAAGCCCTTTGAACAGTTTGCAGTTTGCACTGAAACTGTATATTGGACCTTGAACCGTTTGGTTCCCATTGAAGTCCATTATATGGAGAAAAATCCTGGAATGTTTTCATCAAAAACCTTAACTTCTTTTCAACTGAAGAAAGAAAAACATGGACATCTTTGATGTCCAAATATCAGCAAAAGTTTTTTTTAAAGTGAACTAATTTAATTTCTGTGCTGTAGTCATCTTAAATATCGACATAATATTTATGGCAAATATTTTGTGCAATTGTTAACATGCATTTATAACTTAAAATATTATTTAGAAAAACATCTCTTTTTTAGTTTTCCTCAGAAAGATCACAAGGTTGCAAATGGCATTTCATATTGATCTTTACATGAATGTGCTTTATTTAATATCTCTTTGAGGCGAACGATGAGTAAGCAAACTATTCAAATGTAATTTAAGAGATGCTTTCTCCTTGAAACAAGCGCAAGACTTTCATTTATCAGGTTTCCACAATGGAGAGTAGTGTTACAGACTAAATGCGCCCGACTACATGGCACTGACCTCCAGACTGATGATCCGCCAGGGGTTCAAAGAGGTCAAAAGTTGCAGTGGCCCCATCCTGCATGGGTAGATATTTGCGCAGGCCGAATGGGTGAGGTGAACTGACCCGACCCAACTTTCCATAAAGTGCTGTCTGCAGATGACCGCTTTTACCCCATAGCAGAGGAGGAATGTACCTAGAACATGAAGCAAAATCTCAGGTTTATAGAGAGGTACATGATTTGATTTTGTGCCCAACTAACTACTTCAAAAAGGTGGCTTATAGTCAGCTCAGATAGATGAGAATTATTCGAAAACAAAAATAGGTGCAATGGGTGTGGCATAGGGCATTTCGAAAAACAAAAGAAACTGCGGTTAAATCAATAGTTAAGATTTTGTTTCTAGGTTAATGTTTCATCAAAATAAAACAGAATGTGCAGATTTTTCTGATGATTATGAACGATTAGTGAAGCGGCCCACATTTCCACAGTGCTTTAAGGTTTGTTTCTGGGTCTGTATACTAAGCAGGCACTGGGACAGGTCACCACGCGGCGTCACAGAGGTGCACGCTGCACTTATGTAATAGTTACGCCCACCAATTAGGGTTTAACCAATTACACACTGACCCTTTGCTAAGCTTGTAGGTTGTCCGTGTAACAGTCTCATAGGAATGAACTGGATTTCACCAGAACAATACGATTTTTGATTAAATGTGCTCATGAAGTGGTAATGGATATTACACTTGTGTGGGCAGGATGAAGTAAAAGCATTTTTATCAGCTGTTTGTCTATAAAAAATATAGGAAATTATATAATTACTGTGATAAAAGGTCAGAGGCCCAAAATAGAGAATTTTTTTTCCACTGACAACTGAAAAAGCTTTATTTTATAGTGATTATAAATGAACAAAACTATTAGTCAGTTCTTTGTTTGGGCATGGTTACTTGCAATCACGACTACTATTTTCTCAATTCATACTTAACTAAAACAATATAAAATAATACTCTGCTGTTCAAAAGTTTGGGGTCAGTAAGAAATGAATACTTTACTCAGCAAGGACACATTAAATTTATCAAGTGACAGTAAAAACCTTTACAATCTAACAAATCTCAAAATTTCTATTCATTAAAGAATCTAAAAAAGCAAATGCATCTCAGTTTTCAGCATTAAAAGTAAGAAATGTGTCTTGAGCGGCAAATCAACATATTAGAGTGATTTTACATTGCAGCTAATGCAGGGATCATTACTTAAGACATAAATGTTTACTTGTGAATAATGGCTGACAAATGATTTTTAAATAGCATGAACTTTAGGACTTATTTAAATTTGAAAAGGGGCAAAAATTAAAAGTACAAAAAATTCATCACATGTTAAAGGGCCTATGTGTAGGTTTTTACTTAAAATCTTTAAGATAGAGTCTTCATTTGTCCATTCATGAGCCAATCATAATGTAATAGAAAGAATGACACCTTGACTGTCCACCACGGTTGCCTCTATCAGCCTGTAGGCTCAATTGTGTGTGGAGGAGTCGGGTCCGAATTGGCGTTAAAATTCACAAAATGTGATGTCATGCGTGTTCTTGTCTACTTGGGCTTACATCCATACGGCAGCCATAGTAAGCAGGCAATCGCTAGCAGCAGTGTTTCAAATGGATTCTGCGGACGGAAAGAAGCGACCAGGCTCCAGTCAATCCTATGGAAGCTTGTTTCCGCCACTTAATAAAAAATAAAGAAGGTAATTAATTGCAACTTTTTATCTCACAATTCTGATTTTATTTTCTCACATTTGCGAGTTTACATCTCGCAATTCTGACTTTAATTCTCAGAATTGCATGATACTGCGAGATATAAAGTCAGAATCGCGAGATATAAAGTCAGAATTGCGTGATAGAAAGTCAGAATTGCGTGATATCATATAAAGTCAGAATTGATTGATATAAAGTCGAATTTGCGTGTTATAAAGTCAGAATTGTGAGATATAACTTAGAATTGGCCTGATAACTCTCTCACAATTCTGAGAAAAGATGTCAGAATTTTGTCATAAAAAAACTCGCAATTATGTGTTATAAAGTCAGAATTGCGAAATGTAAACACACAATTGCGACTTTATTTTCTCAGAATTGCGACTTTATATCTCGCAATTGCGACTTTATTTCTCAGAATTGTGACTTTATATCTCGCAATTGCGACATTATTTCTCAGAGTTGCGACTATTTCTCAGAATTGCGACTCTATATCTCGCAATTTTAGTTTCTCTAACGGCCACTGGTGTCAGTAACGGTAAGAAATTTCAGAACTTCCGCAATGCTCCTTTAAGCAGATTTCCTTGAACAACAAAGTGATTAAAAAAAAAACAACTACAATAATTTAGCTACTGTTTGTAGATGTAACTTTCTGGAATATCACCATTGAGACAACATTTCAGAGTATCACTGTTATGAGGTAAAAATTCTAGAATTATACTGTTTTGAGACGCAACACAACTAGAGCTGTAACATTCCATAACTCTTTCTCATTGACAATGAAACAACTCCTACAGGCACCCAGACCACTTAAACCACATTTATTCCCACAAAGTGAGGCTAAAAACAGCAGTAAACAAAGTACAAAAAACACCTTCCACATCTTTCCTATCTCATTGTCACTGCAATCTATTCCACACCTCCTGAAGTATTACATAAGATGCTCTCATGATAGCCTCAAGCGTAGCTACATAACCAGTGTCTACTATATGTGACTTTCCTTAAAATATCAGTTATGAGATGTGAGGGAAAGCTTGGCTGGTTTAATCTGCTACTATGACACGGTCAAATAAGAAGACAAGAGGATCAGCACAGATGGCTTTACCGTAAAAAAAAACAAGACATTTGAGGTGAGTTCAGTTCCTACTAGGGCAGATAAAATAAGCACCACAATTGCATGCATACTGGCTTTAAATAACCAGGAATGTTGACAAACAAGGCTTGAGTGTTACTTAACTAACCACAGAACTGTCTAGAGAAGAGACATGCTTTTTGTTCCCTGTACTTCATCTTGAACCATTCCTCTCTTTGTTGACTGAACTGCAGTCATCCGCAAGCATAAAAGATAATAAAAAAAAGGAAGCATGCAGCGGCAGGGCTGCGTTGGCGTGACACGCCTAATAATGCTCCAAAGTCCAGACCCACAATGCAACATCACAGGCATGCACGACTATTATCAATGCTTGAGAAAATATCCGACGGATCTTCAAACTCTGAATGGTCTACACTGAAGCCGTTGTTTTCTTAAAAGGCGGTTTTGCTAGACAACCCTCTAGTCAAACAAACATGGAATAAGTTTTGGCACTGAAGAGATAAGGATAAGTACGGACAATGGGCTGTTTTTTTTGGTCGATTGATCTTGGCCCCTAGTGTAGTAGCTGTACTGGAAAATAATGATTACATAACCAGCTGGGAGTCACAAAAGTAACACACACCCGCACAGTGCAACAGACAACTTCAGAGGTCAATGCGTGCAAAACGGCCTCCAGAAGACATGTTTCTCATTTTAACTGCTGATTCTGTGCTACAACAAGCAATGAACGATTACCACCACGTGGAATTGAAATATTAACATTGCCAAGACTTGATGAATCACCCTGTCAAGTGTATTACACACTATACAATAGCAGTCCAGGTACACAAACGTTTCTGATGATGTTATTGGAAAGGCATGCTTTGTCTTGGCCTCAAATATAAACAGTATAATAACCATATGTTGTTTCAGCTCACAATAAATTCGTGAAGCAGCACCTCACCGTTGAACTGAATCCACTGTTGTTGGATTTAAGCATGAAAAAGCCTTTATTTTATGCAAATTTGCTTTCAAAATAGTTTTAATTAAGGCTGTCAAATGATTAATCACGATTAATCGCATCCAAAATAAAAGTTGGTGTTTACATAATGTGGGTGCACTGTCTATAATTATTTTGTGTATATATATATATATAAATAAATAATATACACACATGCATGTATATTTAAAAAAAAATATTATTTACATATAAAAATATTTACATTTATATATAATATAAATTATAAATAAATATATAGATTCTATATACAATATATACATTAAAATATTTCTTAAATATATACAAGCATGTGTGTATTTATATATGAAGAGTTCAGATGCAAAAGCCTCTAAATGCCATTTGAAATTTTCTTCTTTAATGATGATTTTTATCAAACTTGTATATTTAAGTTCAGTAATTTCACAATTAATAGGTAATTATCATTGCAATTTAAGTGAAATCACTGAACTTAAATATACAAGTTTGATAAAAATGATCATTCTAGAAGAAAATTTCAAATGGCACTTAGAGGCTTTTGCATCTGAACTCTTCATATCTAAAATAATTATAAACAGTGCACCTACATATATTATGTAAACACATGCATGTATTTTTAAGAGAAAATATTATTTATATATAAAATATTTATATTTATATATAATATAAATTATAAATAAATTTATATACAATATATACATGAAAATATTTCTTAAATATATACAAGCATGTGTGTGTATTTCTAAATCTAAAATAATTATAAACAGTGCACCTACATATATTATGTAAACACAAACTTTTATTTTGGATGCGATTAATCGTTTGACAGCCCTAGTTTTAATAATCAAAATAAAACTGAAATACAATTAAATCTAAAAAGAAATATAAAGAAAATAATAAAAATGACTAAATTAAGGGAAAATTGACAATATAAAATAGATAATTAAAAAAAGACAGCTAGAGTGATGGAATCTGATAATAATACCATGGTACTGAATGCTTACAATATTCATATACCATGGTTTCTACATGCAGTCCAAGTTAATTCAAAGAATATTAAATGCATGTCTAAAAAACATGGTATTACCATGGTGCCAAGTACAAAAACAAGGTACTACCATGGTATTTTTGGAAATGCACATAATAGGTCAATTTGGGGTCAACTGAAGTCTCTAATCTTCACCAAGGCTGCATTTATTTGATGGAAAATAGAGTAAAACAGTAATAGTGTGATGTATTATTATAATCTAAAATAACCGTTTTAATATATTTTAGACGTATTAGTGTCACATGACTATTCAGAAAGCATTCTAATATTCTGATTTGCTGCTCAAGAAAAAAATTATTTTTATTATTATCAAGAAAAATGTATTTGTATTACTATCAATATTGAAAACAGTTGTGCTGCTTAATACTTTTGCAAGTATTCAATTCTTTGAGTAAAAAGTTCATTAGAACAATATTTACCTGACATAGAAACCAAAAATTATAAAATGTCACTTCTGGTCAATTATATGTGTTCTTGCAAAAATTTCTCCAAAGAAGAATCGTTCTGATCCCAAACTTTTGAACGATCGCATATATTTATGAGTGATTCTAGGAGCACTGCATTAGTCTTAGCAACCACATGCTAAAAGCAGCGCAGTTTCAGGAACAGCCTCTAAGCTATTCTGAGATGTGGTTTACTCACTCATTAGACACGGTAACTGCAGTGAAATGATGATCTAAACGGTCACACTCACTCTTTGGTCAGGATAGGACAGGACTTGAGCAGGAAGTGGTTGAGTGTTGTATCCTGGTATGTGAGGTCTGGTGGAGCAGTGGGACTTTTCAAGTTTAGGCACCGGACGATGACGTAGAGAACCGTGGCCACCGCCGCCAACTTCATGCCGTCAAACATCGCGGGCATCTCCGGTGTAACCGTGTACACCTCCGAATCGTGAGTGTTCATATTTGCGCTGAAGATCAACAAAAACAGATGACTGATGCCATGCTTGGGTAAACTACAATACAATGAAGAATAAAGGATGATCTATGAGGTCACATGACCTATATTTGGTTTAAAATATTATTCAAACAATAGCTAACTGATGGAGTAACTTACTTTGTAGGTTAGATGGGGTCCTTGAATGCGACTTAGTATTCTCTGATGAAGAGCGAAGATGTTATGGGTGTGGATTTTAAGTCACAGTGATCTGGTCAATTCTTTGAAGGAGAAGAAAGAACAGTGACACGCATTAGAAATGATAAGATAAGGTTGATGACTAACAGGGTCATAAAGTACAACACCCATGTTAATACCTTAACTAGCAGCTGTGTGCATATTAAAGGAATAATTCATCCAAAATGGCAGTTATCATCATATTACAAATGTATGACTTTCTTACATTTGAGATACATGTATATAAATTGAGTGCTAAATTCAAAGGAAATTTCTTGATTTCAATTAGACGAATCTTAAGGCACATGGTACTTGAAGTCTTCCTGAGTTAGCAGGGCTAGATCAATTTTTAATTGTGAGGAAATGCACCCGTCAACTTGATTCCCTGAGACCATGCTCATTGCGGTATTAACATGCATTAAGTTCACAAATGCACTACATGTGAATTTTGTCCCCTAATTAAAAGAGGAAGACCTTATGTGTTTTTGTATCCATCCACGAGGATGAGCTTTGTGAAATTAATCTGAATGAATAAAATTAATGCAATAGGACATTATAAAGCAAATACAGCCAGCAACAATCACTAATCAAAGATAATCCAAAACAATCCAAATTTGGCGTGTAATCTCCTATAAAATAATGTGAGGTCAAAAATCACCTTGAAGAGAAATATAATTAAAAAATATATACTAATACTACACAATTTTGTTTTACAAAATTCCATTATTAATATCAATAAATGTGATAACATAACACTTAACAGGTCGTCATATCATTCAAGCACGTCAGCATCATAAAACTTTGTATTGTTCGTACAATTCATATTTAAATACGTTTAACATATCAGTTGAAATATTGTTTGTATACAGCACATACACACAATTTAAAAGTATGTATATTGCATTTGTTGTACTTCTCTAATTTAATATAGCCTAAATAATAACCTTTGTGTAATGGAGTAATAAAAAAACATAATTGCACAATGAATATCATCATCATCATTAAAAATAATGGAAATAGTAAATGTAAGTAAACCTCATGGTTGCATTACTGTAATGAGAATGGAGGGGTAAAATCTGATTAATTGTCATCAATATATATATATATATATATATTACACTTAGAAAGAAAAATCAATCCACGCTCTCCACGGGCACTCATTAATGGCATTGAAATAGGTGTTAAATATCAAAAAGTATTTATCAAGAGTATTATTAAAGCACATAAACACTAGTTAAACACACACTTAATGGAGGTGTTATGATGATCGTGACAGTGTGGCGATTATAAGTGTTTGCTGCAAAATAAGGCCCAGCATCTGCCATTACTTCAAAACAACCTCACATACTGACATAACCTGTGATTTTTATATTTATATACAGTGTGGATATGAATGTCTACGGAAAACAAGTGACATTGCAGATGTCAAAGGGTAAATAGGAATCAAATGTCCAAGATGTTATTGTGACGGACAACGTTACGTACATGACATACGTTATACACAAATATCCGCTTAACACATCGCTAATGGTGAACAAAACACGAGGTAGATAAAAAAAAATACAAAAAGGTACTGTTATGTTAAAAACCGCAGAATGTTGTTAAGATGTGCAGTGTAAACAGGAAAACGAGACGACACCCCTACAACACATACAGAAGTAGAATAAAACGCATCGCATTCAGTGCGGATGAACGCATCATACCTCTTTGCCCACTCTATCACAAACAGCTCCCTTTCTGTATTGGTCAAATGTAGCTTTATCCTGTCTCCTTGAGACACGGTGTGTTTACTTAGCGTTGTATTATCCGCGGTCCCCTTTCTAGCATTTTCTTCCTTCTCGTCTCATCTACAGACAGACAGACACGCAGCGCACTTCCTGCTTTAGAAGAAGTCATTTACATATCACGCGCCCTATTGGCTAAATAAAGCAGTTATGTCATGGAGCACCGCCTCCTTTTGTAGAAGTCACGTTTCAAGCACATGCACTCAAGCACTGGCTGCAAATGAGAGGAAGGTGGTTGAAATTTTGCGCCTCAGGAGTTAAAAATAATATAACCTACATTTTTTTGTATTTAGGTTACAATGTCGTCGGTCTACATTCTAATTGTATTACACAAGTCACATTTGTTTTTGTACATTGTAGGCTATACAATAATAATAATAATAATAAACTTTATTACAGCTCACCGGTCCAAATAAAAACAAACAAACAAGACAGTACACACAATATAATACAATATAATAAAAACAAATACAACTTAAGTGGAGACAACTATACCAATGCTTCCATGGACTTACGTAGTGCTAAACTTGATATTTGGTCAATCCCACAACTAAATAATTCTCGGAGTTATTCAACCGACATATACATTTGTACATAACATTTCTCAATGTGGCTGACAGCGCACTTCTATAAACTATACAGTTTATATATGTGCCAATTTGTTTTTTTTCTCGACTAACCGATTACTGTCAGCTACTATTTTTTACCTTTGTCCCCAGAATGTCAAAGGTTTTCTGCTGCTGTTTAGTATTGAGATCTATCTTGTTTATAGCTGCAGGTTGTTATTGGTTGCAAACTAGCTCCACCTTGTGAAATGGCATTACATTTTTGAAGTGCATTATGGAGATTAAACTATTAGGTCATATTTGATAGACAGCATACAAAATATAATACATTCTACTTCTAGACTGACATTGTTCAGAAGAGTAGTGTGATCTACCTATACCTATAACAACCATGAAATTATTGTAAAAGGACATTTTTTAACGCTTTTTTTTTTACATTTCCTGTCTGTTCCAACAGGGGGCGTAGCACAAATAAATTGTAAACATTCCCCTGGACCAAAAGGCACATTTAAACTCCCATTTAATTATTAGCCCATTTAAAAAATACTTTAAATCCTGAAGCACACTGATAGGGCAACACACATTTTAGAAATTGGCATTTTCTCCAAAACAAAAATGCAAAATGTTGCACTTAGATATTTGTTTGGTGTTTAAACAGAATTTTAATGGTGATGGGGTGTTCAAAAGTGCACACATTGACTACAACTGACAAACTGAAGCTTCCCACTCGTATTTACGACATTGTGGTGGCGTTCGTGTGCGTTCAACTCGTAAATAGCCTACGATCTTTACGAGTGCACCAACAGTAGCCAAGGCCTACTCATAAAAGAGTAGGCTATAAGCAGTGTTGGGAGTAACGCATTACAAAAGTAATACATTACAGTAACATATTACTTTTTGCTGTAACGCAGTAGTGTAAGGCATTACTAATCAATTTTCAGTAATATTTTACTCTTTACATGTTTAGTGAGGCTTGTATTACAGTTGTATTACAGTGTATTGTCTGCTTTTACTTCTAAAAGGCAACAGACTATGTGAAAGTTTTAAAGCAGTCTTTTAGTGCCAGTTCAGAGCGGTCGCGTCTGTAACATTGTTTTTTCCTCATAAATGCGAACACGAAAACTAAAATAAAATGAATATTTTAAGTTCTATGGAGACTGGAGAGCCAACCCTTCCTCATCCGATTTGCGCAGTGTAATTAACAGAATTACAAAAAATATATTTTGCCTCCTATTTTTTTGTCACGCATGAATGTGTGTCTTTTCCCTAACACTAAAAATAAAACATACACTGATATTTGTCTAATCTCTGGGGTCCTTTAAGGAAGTAGCCTATATACGTTTCAATACATGTATTTTCTGATAATTTTTATTTCAAGTTTTGACTGCAAATGTCATGTCCATAATGCTGGACTTCCCCAATTTTAAATAATTTATCCTCAACTAGTTTTGTGGTGTAGGTCTACGTATTTTATAATGTTAACTTCAAATAATACTAATAGCCTAATTTAAAGATAAGGCAGCATTGGATCTGGACGGTAAGGAGAATAACGCTGGAGTTGGAAGAGGTGTGTCGTGATTCTGTAGGTTCGTGGATCTGAGTCGTGTGGCGAATCGCGATTTCGGTTTCATATTCGCATATTGTTACAGCCCAAAAGTTAAGTTCTACTTAGTTATTTTGGTGAAAGTAACTCAAAAGTAATACATGAGTAATGTAACGCATTACAATTCTGGGACAGTAATATTGTAAGGTAATGAATTACTTTTAAATAACAGTAACAAGTAATACCTAATGTATTACAGTTTGGAAGTAACTTGCACAACACTGGCTATAAGCAAAAGTACACGGATGGATGACCCACTGCTTCGGTGAGATTCTGAAGTGTGCATAGGCCTAAAATCATAGACAGTATAAGAAGCCTAAAATGGACATTTTACTATCCCATGTTAAGGCCACGGGAGAGGATTTGTGAATGGCGGTGAAGCGACTGACACTGATAATGACACCATGGCGGATGTAGTACGTCCAGATTACATTCATACTACACATTCATACTTATTAGTGACACTAAGGCCCTACATATTAAAAAGCAGAGTTCAAATAGATCTCTCTTCTACAATTGTTGGTATGAAAATAATATTATATTAGTTAGACAACTTTTAAACTAAAATGGTAATTATATTTATTATATATTTTTGTGGGACTGATTCTTCTGAGGCAATAAAGACTTAAATTTCTTGTAGACATTAATAGTCTGAAACACAGCCTACTATTAAACGTATTTGGAATACTTAAACAGGCGAAACAGCTATACTCATAAAAGCACTTTGTGGACCATATTTAGAAATATAATACAGCTTGGTGTATTTGTGAAGCATACTGTTTAATTAATCAAGTAACAGAGGTTACATTTAAAATTTTACATGGTATAATCAAGCTAAAAGTGTGTGAGAGAAGTTTAATTTAGATTTTGATTACTCATGTGATTTTTCTTGAAAAAAAAAGTATTTTTGTGTGAATGTGGAAAATTTAATTAGAAGGAAAAAAATTTTTATAATCAAATTAAATTATTTTGATATTATTCCGATCTAAGTAATAATAGTATTTTTTCTTTTATTGTATAACTTTTTATTATTTTGGGAAAATGTCAATGTCATTAACAAGAAGAAATGGTCAGGATCTAAGACAAAATGTATTCATTTTCTTGAGGAGTACAGCACCAGTCTGGAGGACATTGTCAATAAGAAAGCAAGAAAGACTTGTAATATCTTGAATGAATATACAGTTGTTGTTGTTTTATTAATTAATTTTGTACACTCTGGCATGTTTTGAGATGTATTCATATGTAAATTCTGCATACTATATTGTATAAAGTTCATTGGTTAATAAACACATTCATACTATGTAGCATACTTTTTTTAGTGGTCATGAAGTACATACTTATTCAAAATATCTCAAAACATAGTGTGTGTAGCTATGTGTGTGTGTGTGTGTGTGTGTGTTGCCCTGTCCCAAATGGCACACTTCATATGCACTTTGTCTCATGGGTCTTGTGTGTGTCCATGATACCATGGTGTCCTATTTGTCATTTTTGGTTGGTGTTAGATACCTGATTCAGCCAATGGCAGCACAGAGCAAAAGCAAACAACTCTTCACTTTAAAGAAAGAGAAAGAAAGAAAGAAAGAAAGAAAGAAAGAAAGAAAGAAAGAAAGAAGAAAGAAAGAAAGAAAGAAAGAAAGAAAGAAAGAAAGAAAGAAAGAAAGAAAGAAAGAAAGAAAGAAAGAAAGAAAGAAAGAAAGAAAGAAAGAAAGAAAGAAACGATAAACTGAATATACACACAATAACTACAGCTTCTCCTAATTAAATTGAATTAATTAAAAAATATTTGCTGCTAACTAACTCCCAAGTCATCGTCATCTAAAACGTTCACCTCTGAGTTCATAATTAAATCTAGTTCATAATTAAAAGAAAGAAAGAAAGAAAGAAAGAAAGAAAGAAAGAAAGAAAGAAAGAAAGAAAGAAAGAAAGAAAGAAAGAAAGAAAGAAAGAAAGAAAGAAAGAAAGAAAGAAAGAAAGAAAGTTTTTATTTATACATCTTACTATGTATTTCTGGGTTAAAGTGACTCAAAATAATGGAGAATGTCAAAATCAAAACAAATATATCGTAGCTTGATTATTACTCTTAATGAAATAGACTACTTTACATAAATCTACATTTTGTGCTCAAATTTATTAGATTGAAAGATAATATATTGTATTGATTATATTGTTGTTTCACTTATACATTACCTGCAGGTATTAGGCTACTTTATGAACTGTGATTACCTTATAAGTTGGTTGTTTATAATGTAATACATTTCTCACACAACAACCTAGTTCATTATGTGAAAAATCATTATTACATTGGAAAATCATTGTTATAGGGCCTATTATGAGCTCACAACATTAAAAAAAACGAATGGCGTTTATCGCTTCACCTCTGCAACAATGAAAGTGACACCTAGTTCATTCACCCTGAGCGGCTCCAATCATTTGCTATAAAGATATAAAACCCACCTCTCTGTCTATAGCAAACACAGAGACACGTGACAGATACTTGACCGACGAGTCAAAGACTGCATCCCTCTCATTTGTATTCTGCTGTACTAACATAGCAAGGCATGGAGCAAGGCTATACAAACACTGAGAGAAAACCCTGGTACACAATGGCCTTACAGAGCAATCAATCATAAACAGGCACAGCGTCTATGACTTTTTACTTTTTACGTTAATTCATTTATTGCCTGTATTTATCTCAAGATAGCCTAGTTCTAATACTGTATTTCCTGGATGTAGCCTATAAACATGTCCAATTTCAGCCCAAGATTTGTACAAAAGAAACGATAAACTGAATATACATACACACAATAACTACAGCTTCTCCTAATTAAATTGAATTAATTAAAAAATATTTGCTGCTAACTAACTCCCAAGTCATCGTCATCTAAAACGTTCACCTCTGAGTTCATAATTAAATCTAA